GGTAATGAAACGTTTGCAAGAAAAGAACCAAGCTCAGAGAACCCCAAGGACTCCACACTAAGAAATCTTGTTCTGTATCACCTAAGAGTGCAGAAGGCAAGGTTAATTATTTAAATTACAAGAATTATAGGGCTTGTGTTGGTTGGTCTCATTTATTTTTTGTGGCAATTTTGGAATTTAGAAGTTGCATCCTAGATTCCTGACCTATAGTCAAAACTTTTGCATATGATTTAATCTTGGGTGCAGCAAACATCCCAGTGAGATTGTTCCCCAGGTGAATGTTTCTCTTTGACTGCTTGCAGGATAGGGGTGGGATGAGTCCAGCCTGCTTACAGTCAGATTCTGGGATTCTGCTTTGCTTTGCTTTCCTTCCACCACCTTCATTAATCCCTCCTGGAAGTCAAGCATGCTTCCCTCCCAGCTGGACGTGCTTGAATGTCCTAACTGCTAGGAATTGGGACTCTTGGAGAAATATGACACCCTATAGAAAAATCATGTGACTTTTCAATAGTAATGCACTCAGCGTCAAATTGAGCACAGTGGGATATGAATGCAATAAATCAATAAGTATGTTCTATAGCAAGGAGCTGTGGGACTTGGAGAAGCCACGGATGCTTCATTTTGCAGACATGGAGGTGAAGATGGCAGATGTAAAACAGGTGGCTTTCTAGGATATGACCACAGCTTTTTGGTAGGTCTACTTTGAAGACCTGCAAAATTTCAGCCCTTCTGGAGCAAGCAGAAATATGCATCTACATCCTTAGCTTGGTATTGGCTTACAGATAGTCCTCAATTAACAACCATTCATTCAGCGATCACCTGAAGTTACGCCGGCACTGAACAAATGGTAGTTATGACCGGTCCTTGAAGTTCCAGCTGTTGCAGTGCCCCTGTGGTCACATGATCAAAATTTGTGCACCTGGCAGCCCACCTCCATTTACAACTGTAGCATGTTTCAATTCCCCTTACCTGCCTCTCTCTCCCTCATCTCTGTCCTTTTGGCCGCCTTGCACTCCACCACAGCTGCCCCTCCTGCTGCCAACTGACCTCCATCTTCTTCCTCCCACTGCAGTGCTGATGAGGTGCGCCCGGCTGAGGCAGCTGCTGGCCCTTTGTGAGGCCTCCGTGCGGCCTCCCAAGGCTTCAAGGAGGCCATGCAAGGGTTAGGGTAAGGGTCAGCAGCCTCGTCAGCAGCGGGAGGAAGAAGACAGCAAAGGCCAGCTGGGGGCAGCAGGGGTAGGTGGTGGTGGAGTGCAGGGTGGTCAAAAGGGCAGAGATGGGGGGACAGACAGGCAGTAGGGGAAAGTTGAAGCACACCCTGCGGTTGTAAGTACAGGCAGGCTGCCAAGCACCAAATTTTGATCACGTGACTATGGCGCTGCTGCAACAGCTGGAACTTCAAGGACCAGTTGTAACTACCATTCAGCGCTGTCATAACTTCAAACAGTCGCTGAACAAATGGTCATTAAGCAAGGACTACCTGTACTTTTTCCTAGGAGGAAATGCTTGCTGTGGTGTCCTTCCTTCAGAGGTGGCTTGCATTGCTTGAACCTTTTCCTCTCCCTCTTTGCTATGTGCTCTTTCACAGAGTCTCATGGAGGAGGCAAATTCTTCTGATCTCATGTAATGTTTTGCTCTTTGTTCAGAGTCAACCGAACGCACATAAGTCCTGATGTCCAAAATGCCATTCACCCTGGAGACAAGATCTTGGAGATCAACGGAAACCCAGTTCGCACACTGCAAACTGAAGAGGTATGTTCTGTACACCCTTCCTTATTTCCTGCTGTCTCATGACTTGAGGAGGGGACTGAAAGCCTCTTGGGGCAGGAGCTGAGTTTTGGAGCACCTGCTAAGTTCTCAGCCTCTCTAAGTAATTGTGAAAGATCTTTCTTTCTCTGAAAACACGAAGAGGTGCTGACAGAGAAAAGAAGAACAGGCTGGCTCTTGAGGGATTTGTCGGATCCTTCAATTAAAGAAGACTTTAATTCCTCCTTAGGGTAGCATTTTAAAACAAAAATAGGGGTTTCATATTCTTGTCTTCCTGAGTGCAAGTTGAAAGACTTGCATATTTTGATTTTCATCTCAGCTGTATATGACATATATAAAGGAGCCCTAATTAGGACAAGCTGCTTAAACAGCTAAGACATCTTAATTGAACTCAGCTCAACTGCTTCTTAAGAAAATGAGCAGGCAAAGAAATGCCTCCTTCATCCAACCCTACCCCATCTGTAATAGCAACACCTTTCCTCTTTGATGTAGGAAGAATGTGAATGTGTTGTTTTGGAAACCTTTTCCCAGCATGGCACAAATCCCTGAACTCTTGTTTTTAATTCTCAGGTCAAGGAACTGATTCACAAGACAAATCAAATTCTTCAGCTGTTAATTGAGCATGACCCGGTCTCTCAGCGCTTGGACCGGTTGCGTCTGGACTCTCGGCTGTCGGGGTGCAATAAAAAGTCCTCATCCTGTTCAATTTCTGCCCTGGAGCTCAAGGAGAATCTGGAAGGAACACTGCGACGTCGCTCCCTCAGGTAGCATACCAGGACTCCAGAATTGCCTGCTAATCTCCGGCTAGTGTTACCGGCTTGGTAAGGTGGAACACAAAGCAAGTGCTGGCCCTCTGGCTATAACAGTCCTTTGAGGTAGCCAGGCCAGGAAACTGACTCCACAAGTTTGACTGGAACTCTACTTATCGACATGAGCTCTAGTAACAGAATTTTGAAAGCCTGATTGTGTTTCCCTTCCCTCCCTCTTATACCCCAGGGAGTCAGGGTGGTGCCAGTCTGAGTTTCTTCCTAATGTTTGTTTCTTCCCAACATGTTTAAATCATGTTGCTGTACGTGTTGTTGAAACTGTCTCTGCATAGTTTCTCCAAGGCCATATCTGTGACTCTCTACGAGCTAGGTGCTTTTCCTATTTGGTGGCACCACCATCTGCCTCTGCTGATCACTGCTTAGCCCACTGTTGATTTGGTCTTATGGCTCTCCACTTTGATTGTAAACTACCAGGGGACTGGTAGTCAGTTATATGTAAAGTGTAAGACATAACTGAAATAGGCTGGATACCATCCCCTCAATTACATGTTTCCTGACACAGTAGCTTTGACCAGAATGTCTCTGTAGTGGCTGAGCTACAAGGTGAAAGATAGGCGGCGGTGGAGTGCAGGGTGGTCAAAAGGGCAGAGATGGGGGGAAGTTGAAGCACACCCTGTGGTTGTAAATGCTTTCTCTCAGAAACCCTCTGGATTTACACCCCCTTGTCCTACTGTCCTGCCTTGGAATACAGTGGTACCTCGGTTCACGAAC